AACGGGTCCAATATGAGGAGAGATTAAAGAGGCTAGGACTTTTCACCTTGGAAAAGAGGAGACTAAGGGGGGATATGATAGAGGTATATAAAATCATGAGTGGTGTGGAGAAAGTGAATAAGGAAAAGTTATTTACTTGTTCCCATAATATAAGAACTAGGGGCCACCAAATGAAATTAATGGGCAGGAGGTTTAAAACAAATAAAAGGAAGTTCTTCACACAGCGCACAGTCAACCTGTGGAACTCCTTGCCTAAGGAGGTTGTGAAGGCTAGGACTATAACAGGGTTTAAAAGAGAACTAGATAAATTCATGGAGGTTAAGTCAATTAATGGCTATTAGCCAGGATGGGTAAGGAATGGTGTCCCTATCCTCTGTTTGTCAGAGGGTGGAGATGGATGGCAGGAGAGAGATCACTTGATCATTACTTGTTAGGTTCACTCCCTCTGGGGCACCTGGCATTGGCCACTGTCAGCAGACAGGATATTGGGCTGGATGGACCTTTGGTCTGACCCAGTATGGTCATTCTTATGTTCTTATGAGGGGGTGAGGGCTCCGGCTGGGGCTGGGGCTGGGGATGAGGAGTTTGGGGTGCAGGAGGGGGCTCTGGGCTGGGGTCAAAGGGTTTGGAGTGTGGGAATGGGCTCAGGGCTGGGGCAGGGATTTGGGGTGTAGGAGGGGGTGTGGGCTGTGGCTGTGGGTGTGGGCTTTGGGGTGGGGCCAGGAGTGAGGGGTTTGGGGTGCAGGAGGGGGCTCTGGACTGGGACCGAGGGGTTTGGAGTGTGGGAGGGGGCTCAGGTCTGGGGCAAAGGGTTGGGGTGTGAGAGGGGGTCAGAGTGCAGGCTCTGGGGGAGAGTTTGGGTGTGGGAGGGGGTTCAGAGCTGGGGCAGGGGTGTGGGGTGCGGGAGGGGGTGTGGAGTGCGGGCTCCAGGAGGGAGTGTGGGTGCGGGAGGGGATTCCGACCAGGGGTAGAGGGTTGGGATGCGGGTGGGGGTGCAGGATCTGGGAGGGACCTAGGGTGTGGGACAGGGTTCCAACCTGGGGCAGGGGGTTCAGGGTGCAGGCTCCAGCCAGGTATCACTTACCTTAGGTGGCTCCCGGTCGGCGGTACAGTGGGGCTAAGGTAGGCTCCCTGCCTGATCTGGCTCCCCGCTGCTCCTGGAAGTGGCCGGCATGTTCGGCCCTGAGGCGGAGGCGCGACCAGGCGACTGCGCGGTTCCCAGCCAACGGGAGCTGCAGAGCCGGCGCTTGGGGTGGGGTCAGCATGCAAAGCTTCCCTGGCCATCTTTGCGCTTAGGGTCACAGGGACATGCTGGCCACTTCCAGGAGCTGCGTGGAGCCAGGGCAGGCAAGGAGCCTGCCTTAACCCCACTGCACCACTGACTGGACTTTTGATGCCCCAGTCAGTGGTGCTGACTGGAGCTGCCAGGGTCCCTTTTCGACTGGCCATTCAGGTCAAAAATGAGGCATCTGGCAACCCTACTAACAGGGCCTCTACAGATTCTGACTCATCTGTATCTTTTATGGAGTGATGTGTGGGTATGAGACCAAGGATCTTAGGGGAACATGTGGCTCAATCAAAGCCTCCAAATTCCAGTGCTTGAGTGTGAGGGAGGGTTTGAAGGGTCTCTACTGTCTCCTTTTCACTTCCAATATCTTGGGGTGAGGAATGTTTCAGTCGCATTGGTTCCCTGTCCCCAGCTGACAGCTCCTTTTAAAAGTTCTCAGCCAGGACTATACATTGCTATGATTGCCCCTTAGGCCGGTTGGAAAAGCCTTATGGGGTAGTTCCATTTGAATGAGAAGTCAGTGACAAGAAGTTGGAGTAACCTTGGTGTAATCCATTTATTTACTGAAATATACGCAAAGTCCTGTTTCTTTGAACAGCAGAGGAATATACAGCAAACCAGCTTTTGCAGAAATTCTAAGCTAGACATTCCAGCCTGGTACCCAAGAAGCCTCTGTTTTCTTATGGTGTCCCACAAACAGGGCCGGCTCTAGGTCTTTTGCCGCCCCAAGCAAAAAACTTTTTGGCTGCCCCCACCCCGGCCCTGGGCTCCCCCCTGCACCCCATTGCTGCCCCAGCCCTGGGGCATGCTGAGTATAGTAACCCAATTTTACCAGCATTTCTGAAAGGATTTTATAAAACACCTACCTTTACTTTGTATCTGAACACTGAGATTGCATATTAACCAGAATGCATTGTGCAAGGGCTAGAGTACCAACTTTAGTTCATGATTTGCTAATAAATTCTCTTTCCAACAGTAAAACTTCATGTCAGGCACAGGTCTCTTATTCATGTGACTGCTTGGTACTCTATCTAAGGTACTTATATGGCCTCCATCAACATTATATCGGAGTGCTTCACAATCTTTAATAATTTTATCCTCACAACCCTGTGAGGTAGGGAAGTGCATTTAACAGATGAGGAACTGAGGCAGAGAGACTAAGTGTTGTGCCCAAGATCACACAGGAAGTCTGTGACAGAGCAATGAATTGAACCTAGGTCTCTCAAATCCCAGGCCAGTACCCTAACTACCCTAAACCATCCTTCCTGTCTTACTCAGCTACATAAATGGGCCATGTTTGAAAAACCTAAATGATTCCATATGGAGGGCCCCTACCATGGTCCTATTAAATTGGGAGTTTTGCTGTTGACTTCCTGGGGACCACCAGAGGGCCCAACAGAGCAAACTCTCTCAGCTGCTAGTGTCTTTGTCAGTTCCTAGGAAAGCATTAAGAGTGAAATAAGTCAATGGCAAAGCTTGCTTTGAAAGGACCGGGATTCCACCCTACATATTTAGTAGGCAAAGATATTGGGCCTGATTCTCCTGCCACTGACACCAGTTTAAAACTAGTGTAATTCCACTGACTTCAGTAGAAGCATTCCTGATTACACCAGGGTGAGAGAAGAATCAGCTCCTTTACATTTATTCTAAAGTTATAGTACATTGGGGAGCTGAACTGCATTTAGTTTTGCAATTTGTGGCTTGCACTCAGACCTAGAGTCTAATCTCATATCCCTTTAATCTTACAGAGTCATATTTTATCATTTTTATTACTTCTTAGTTGTATTGCAGCAACAGCTAAAGACATCAATCAGGAGCAGGGCCCATTTGTGCCAGGCACTGTACAAACACATAGAAAGATACAGCCTTTGCCCTGACACGCTTGCAATCTAACCAAGGGCAAGATGCAACAAGTGGCTGTGAAAAATAACTGGAAGAAGAGGGGAGGGAGGATGAGGGCAGTATGCTTCAGCTAGAGTGCCTTTGCAATTTGTTGTTGTAATATGGGAAGTACTTGACATATTTTATATTTAATAATACCCCAATAAAAATAGAAAAAAAATTAAGTCACATATTAAGCCTGAAGCCATACTATTGACATACACACAACTTCCACTGACTTCTGGGAGAGCTACACACGTGTAAAGAACTACAGAATCAGGTACATTACATAGAGCTAGATTTTAATGCTGTAATACAAGTATTGTGAATAGAGAAAATGTGTTCTATGTAAAAACAACGAGGAGTCCTTGTGGCACCTTAGAGACTAACAAATTTATTTGGGCATAAGCTTTCGTGGGCTA